TTTTGCAGGCTGGCGGGGGGGCTCATCCGAGCGGTCCTTCTGCCCCCATGGTGTTGGCTGGGCATATGCACGGGGCTGCATTCAGCCAGAGGCTTGGCTGCACTGGGGGGGTCCAGTGTGGCCTCACTCATATGTCGGGCAGTTGGTCCTGTCGGCTGGGGCATATCTGTCCCCCTCCACGTGGCCTGTCCAGCACAGTTGCCTGGACTTGTTCGCATGGCCGTTGTCTTCCAAGAGGGTGCATCAGATGCTGCAAAGTCTCTCAAGGCTTAGACCCGGAAGTCACATAGCATTGCTTCTGCCACATTCTGTTAGTCAAAACAAATCATGGGCCCAGCCAGATTTAGGGGTGGGGAAGAATGGACCCCACCTCCTCATGGGCAAAGTGGCAAAGTCATATCGCACAAAGGCATGCAGGAGAGGAGGGAGCTGGAGGGCCATCTTTAGGAACACAAGCACCTACTATGTGCCAGGCATTGTTCTCGGCCTTGGGAGTACAAAGGAGCTTTCATTCTGGTGGCAGAAGATGAGAAGCAACAAGTAAAATACATAGTATGTTTGCTGGTGATAGAACTAAAGAGACAAATAAATTGGGGCAGGACGGAGTGGTGGGGTTGCTGCAAGGTCTCAGAGAAGGCATCTCTGGGGAGACACAGTTGAGCAAAGGAAGTGTGGGATGAGCTTTACCAGTAAAGGGAACAGCAGGTGCAAAGGCCCTGGGGTGAGGACATGGCGGTGTTGTTGGTGGGGAGTGAGCAGTAGATGATGAGCTTGGAGAGGAGGTGGAGGGTCCAGATGGCATAGGGCTGGGAGGCCTTTATGTGGCATTACTGAGTGAAGTGAAGAACAGGAGGTGATTTAAAAAAAAATCAAGATGTGGTTCATGCAACATAAAATTGGCTGTTGTAAAGTATGCAATTGCGTGGTTTTTAGTACATTCACTGTGTTGTACAAGCATCACCATGACCTAATTCCAGAACATTTCCATCACTCAAAAATGAAACTCCATGACTGTTAGCAGTTATTCCCGATTTTCCCCCACCCCCAAATCCCGCTCCCATCCCTTGGGGAGAGCCAACCACTAATATACTTGCTGTCTGTGTGGATTTGCCTCTTCTGGACATTCACGTCAAAGGAATCTTGTACTGCGTGATTTTTGTGCCTGGCTTCTTTCACTCAGCATGTTTTCAAGGTTCATCCATGTTGGAGCATGTGCCAGGACGTCATTCCTTTTTATGGCCAAATAATATTCCATTGTATGGATAGACCACATTTTGTGTGTCCATTCTTCACTTGATGGACATTGAGTTATTCTAACTTTTTTGGTTATTATGAGTAACATACAAGTTTTTGTTAAGAACATAGGTTTTCGGCCTTTTGAGCTTCCTTTGCTCGGCCCGCTCCAAACTCTTTGGAGTGTACTTTTTCTCCTGCTTCTTTGAAATGTATTTTTTTCCTCCTAATAAACTCCTTTTCTGCCACTTTAAAAAAAATTTAAAAAGAACATAGGTTTTCGATTCTTTTGTATGTATTATAGGGTCAGAGGCTAACTCTATGTTTAACCTATGTGGTTCCCACAGCAGCTGTGTACTTTCACTCCCACCAGCAGTGTATGGGGGTTCCTGTTGCCGCATGTCCTCACCAGCACTTGTCATTTTCCATTTTTGTGGTTGTAGCCATGCTAGGGGTACAGTGGACACTTTTGAGCTGAGGAGGGCCTTGGTTTTAACAGGATCTTTCAGAGGAATAGATTGAAGGGGAGCAAAAGAGGAAGCGGGGGACCAGTGAGCAGGCTACTGCAATGGTCCCAGCAAGAGAGGATGGTGCTTTGCACCGGGATGATGGCGAGGGAGGTGGAGAGAAGTGGTTAGGCTTGAAATACATTTTGAAAGCAGAACTGAGAGGATTTACAAACAGATTGGATGGGGTGAGGGTGAGAAAGAAAGACAACTCAAAGATGCGCCAAGTATCTGGCCTGAGCAACTGGACAGTGGAGGTTCCATGTGTTGAGTTGGAGAAGACCGTAGCTGGAGGGTCGTTTTGTATTTTCTAGCGCCAGTCCCTTGGTGGGCAGCGGTCAGCCCCTTTTCGGTTTTCTGCCATGCCCCTGGGAAGCTTGGATTGGCATTTTAGGAGAAGGAGGGATGTGGAAAGAGAGGGTGAATGCCATGATTCACACGTGTTAAAAAGAAATGTCCACCGGTCATGCCCTGAATGTCACTTAAACTGAGCTATTTGCTTCCTTGCCCTCGGAACGGGACAATTTGTGCCCAGGGAGTTACAAAGGACGGCGAGGGCATTCATTTTGATTATGGGCTGGTTGAAAAGGTGTGTGGGCTGCAGCCTGCAGGACTCTGGTTTCTAAGGCCACTTAGGGGATTATCTGGAGAGAAAATTGTCCCATGAATGGTTTGTGAGCATGGTGGGGCAGCTAACCCTGAGCTCCTTCCAGTCGATGGGGAATGTCTTGGGGTTTGTTCCTCCCTTAGCTGACCAGACGGTCAGCCAATGCTTTCTTTGCTTTCTCCTGCCTTGGGGCTCTGCCCTAGGTACCAGGAAGTGGGGCAGGGGTGGAGGAGGCCATGGCTGAACAAAGAGCATTCCTCCTCCCGAAAGAGCATCTTGGTGATTGCAAACTTCAGTTCTGGAGTCAGAGTGCCCAGGGTCAAATCTGGCTTTGGTATTTGTGAGCTGTGTGACCTTGAGCAAGTGACTTAAGCTCTCTGGTCCTTCTCAGTCCATAAAAAGGGGGGAAATTACAGTACCTACTGGACAGAGTTCTGAGAATCAAATGAGATAATCCATATATAGTGATTTGCCATTGTTTCTATGATCCAGTGAGAGCGACACAGAAAGCAACCACTTTTTATGCATCTACTGTGTGTCAGCACTTTATTAAATGATTTAGCCACATTTATTATGTCCTGTTAACTCCCTAACAGGACCTCCTAATGGCGATTCCTGTCACAGGGGAACCAACCAGAGTGCAGAAGTTAAGCCCTTGGGTTAAGGTCACATGGCTGGCAAAAGAGAAGACGGGATATGAACCCAGGACTGACTAACTTTCTTTATGCACATGCTGGAGAAGGTTCAGATTTGCTTCCTACGAGTATAGAGCTTCAGGCACATCTTGGGGCGGAGGCAGCCCATCCCGCTGGGGTGGGGTCTGGGTAATCTGCACCCGAGGTCTGGAAGGGGGTCTCCCGCGCCGTACCCCTCTCATCTCTTGCTTTCCTCCACATCAGGAGGGACAACCAACCCTTTCCCACCTCAGTGGCCTCTCGGCTCCTTCTTTCTGCCTTTAGTGCCTCAGGGACATTATTTTTGCCACAATTTTACTTTTGGGGGCTGAGGGGAGCTTCCTGTGTGGTTCCCAGTCCTCCCTCCCCTGAGGTCGCCTTCCCCTGTCAATCCTCCCCCGTTCAGGCACAGAAATAGTCCCAGCTGTGAGATGAAGGTCCCAGAGTTTAAAATTGCCACTGGGTACTATTTATACCCCAGCCGGAAAGATTGTGTGTGTGTGTGTGTGTGTGTGTGTGTGTGTGTGTGTGTGTGCGCGCGCGCGCGTGCGCGCGCGCACTCGCAGTCATTTACTTTGTTGCGGTAGTGATGGCTTGGGCTGCAAGCAGCACCTCTGGCACTGTATAAACATTTCTCTGGGGACAAGTGGGTGGTGAGGGGAGCCTTCAGGTGTGGGGGGCGGGCACCAGATCTGACCAGAAATGCCTGGTGTTGCCTGCCTGGAGCAGAACGAGTTGGCCTGGTAAGCCAGAGAAAGTGGTTCATGGTCTAGGTGAAGTTTCTTCCTAGATGCCTGGTAATTAAAAAAAAGAAGAAGAAAGACAGGTATTTTATAAGCCATGAAAATTATACATACTTGAGGCGGGAAAAGGTTCAAACTTATTTTTTACACAAGTGATTGAAGCAGTGATTGTAAACTGGCAGACTCTTGCACATTCATGTTGTGCTTGGCCCATGGAGTGTTAAAACAAAAAAATTTTTTTTGAATTTGTGCCATGGTTTAAAAATTGGGACATTTCCCATAAAATTATAATTTCTGGCTTCTCTTGAAGAATGGAAGGACCTGGCATTCTCAGCCTGTTTCCTGATGGCTGCTAGTGGCTGGTTGCCCCAGAACTGGGCAAGCACTTTCAGGTCACCACAGGCCCGGGTGGCCTGCCTCCCTCGTTTGTGATACTGCCTGGCCCTGATAACTTTTGAGTTTTGGACCCTTCAAATAACATAAAAACGTTCAAGTCTCCCTTGTCAGGCCCCATCCCCCAATCCCTACTCCCCAGGGCCAAGTAAGCACCCTGAATAGGGTTTCCAGAGAAACTAGAGGACGCCCCGTTAAATGTGAATTTCAGATAAACAACAAATAATATTTCAGTCTAAGTATATCCCCTAACTATTAGCAGGTTGGTACATGTCATTTCAGGCCTTTGTCTGTTGACCACGCACATATTTTGGTGTTGTTACAAGGATAGGTTTATATTCTACATTCTACATCTTCTACAACTTGTGTTTCCTCTCCATGGTGTTTTGTAGGAGCCATTTCTCTGTTTATAAGAGCAGGCTTTGAGGCCGTGGACTCAAACCTACGTGCGAATCCTGGCCCCATCACTGGCTAGCTGTGTGACGTTGAGCAGGTTACCTCACCTCTCTGAGCCTCAGTTTCCTCATCTGAACAACAGGGATGATAAAGGTAGCTTGGTCATTTCCTGTTGGTTTTTATTTATCTCATTTCTTTTGAAAGCTGCATAGACTGATGGTCCATGGTGGCTTTAACCAGTCCTCTGTCCACAGGTATCAAGATTGCTGCCAGCTTCTTGCTCTTTCAAATGAGGCTACGAGAGGTTTTGAAAAGGGAAAGGAGGTCTCTAGAGGGAACTGGGCAGATAATCCTAAGATTTAGTTTGCTTTAAAAAAAAAAGAAAAATGAAGGGCGTTTGTCTCCCTGGAAACCACTCGCTAATCTCCAGGATATTGTCTCTTTCCAGGCGAAGGAGGTGGAGGAGACCATCGAGGGGATGCTCCTCAGGCTGGAAGAGTTTTGCAGCCTGACTGACATGGTGAGTGCCTGCCTGGGAGGTGTGGCTTCAGATCCAGGCCAGACTCCAGGCCCTTCTTGGAGTTTTCTGGGGAAGCCATTTTGGTGGTGAGTTAGCAACCAGAAGGAGCGGGGCAGCAGCCAGCGGTCGCTCACACGCACTCTCTCTCACACACCCTCCTTCGCACTCTCAACACCAAGGCTTCCTGAGGCGGCCATCTTGACCACGTCCTTCCCCTTGAGATGGTTTTTATTCCACAGAGGAGCCAGGCGTGGGCCACCAGGTGGCACTCTCGGGCACCGATGCAGGGAGCCGTTCAGCGGGGATGCTAAGACTATATTTAACTTGCCTTAGCTCTGCGCAGTTCACCAGGCAAACATGGAGACAGCCAGGAAATGGCTGCAGGCCTGCGAGGCCTAGGAGGGGCCTCTCGCCCAGGCCGTAGCCCGTGGCGGGGTTGGGCACTGGGTTCCTTCCTGAATCTTTTTGCTTTCTCTGCTTTTGCCTCTTACCCTGGTTGGTGGGTTGGTTGGTTTTATTTTTATTTTTTTGGGAGGGGGTTGATCAAATCCCCTTGGCTGGGTGGGGATGAATATAAAAGATGGTGCCTTAGGCCCAGAACACAAGATCTTCCTCCAAATTCTCTAGAAATCTCCTCTAGATCCCTGTGTCCCCAGGATTGCTTCCAGCCAGGTGTGAGGCCCCAAGGAGCAATGACAGACTTTTCTGTAAGTTGCCAAGCTTATTAAAGGGAACTTCCCAGCAGCCAGGGTTGGAGGCTTCTGCCTGAAAGGCCAAAGGGGGAAAGCTCCGTGTTGTGGAGCGGGGAAAGCCTGGCTGGGCCCAGTGGTATAGATTTGTGCCCCTGAGAAGCAAGTCTGGAGAGGTGTTTGCAAGAGCCCAAGGGATTAACGGTAATAGCAGCCCCAGATGTTTCGCGAACATCTACTTTGTGCCAGGCACCATACAAAGCGTGTTTCCTGTATCATCACATTTCCCCTTGAAGCAACCCAATGTGATGGGCGCCATGTCATCCCCGTTCATTCAACAGACCTACCTTGTACCAGCCTCGGGGACACAGCAGCGAACAAGGCAGAACCATTCCCACGAGGACCTTTGTGCGTTTTTCTCTTGAGAGCCAATTTCTTAGTTCAGACGGGGTTCCAGGTAGGCGCTGGGTAACCAGACAGACTTTGAACGGCCCGGAGAGTCCTTTCTTTGTCACTAAACATTGGGCATCTTCTCTGATTTGGTCCTGTTGTCCACCCTGAACCCCCAGTCTGTTGGGGGAGGCTGATTTGTGTACCAGTCACTGTCACCCAGGGTTGAAGTGCTGTCATGATGGTGTATTCAGGTAGAAAGGGAGGCTGCAGAGGTTTTTGAAAAGGGACAGAGGGAAGGAGCAAGGAGGATATGGGAGGGACTTCTAGAAGCAACTGGGCACATAATCCTAAGCCTTACTTGCTTTAAAAAAAAAAATTGAAGCGCAGAGGCGTTAAATTCTGCCTGGGAAGGCTTCGCAGAACAGGTGGTGATTAATTTGGGGGTTGAAGGAGGAACAGAAAGAATTCAGCTGCTGGGAAGGGCGGGCATCCAGGCAGAGGGACTGGCCTGTGAGCATGGAATGCCAAGCAGGGCCTGGACGGTGAGGACCCGGAGGCAGACGGTGGGTTTGAAAGATGGCGTGGCCTGGTGATCCCGGGACATTTTGTTGTCAAGTCCTAACCCATCATCCTCGTGTGCATGGAGATCTGCTGTCCACCAGGAGGAGAGTTTGGGGTGGGAGTCATCTTAGACAGGTGGAGAAGGGCCCAGGCCACCCTTGCCTTGAAAACCTCCAAGTCTTCCTATGGGGGGAAGTCAGTGTTTGTGTATCCAGGAGGCCCAGGACTGCAGGCAGCATTGAGAAGGTTCTCTCTGAACTCAAAGCAGTTATGCAAAAATTTTAATACTGAGGTCATACACAGGTGACCCACAGGCCCAGTCCTGCCTGCAGCTCTGTTGAGTGTTTCTGGGGGACAAAAGGGAACTGACTGCTGACCTTTGTACTATGTCATATATAAAAAAACACCTGGATTTCTGGCTTCTCTTAGAAAAACACAGGTCTGCTCCCCATCCTTGGGTGCTTGTCCCCACCTGGCCAATATCAGTCAGAGCTGCATGATGGCCACCCCCTGTGGACAGCACGTGTACTGTCCAGGCTGCCACCGTCCCCACTGCGCCCATGCATGCCTCCTGGACTCCACAACCACCTGCCAGGTACCTCCATCATGTGCTTGTGTGTTTTATGGTAGAGTCCATTTCTCTGTACTTTGGGCCCTGCTGAAACAAGGCAAATAAAACCAGGCCATGAGGGCCCCATGTTTCAAGAAATGGAAGAGAGTACACTTCCAGTGGAAGCAAAGATCGTTTCAGTATGTTTATATGCAAATGCGTGTGTCTACACTGACAGACTGTGCCTGGTACACTGCTTTTGTGGCCCCGGGAGGCATTTTGAATTTGTAGCCCCTACATTGATGCTCTGTGCTGATGCTGTTTAAACGAGGGGGTCCTCTGGGCCCCAACAGTTGATGCTTAGCTTCCCTGGTGATCTAAGCCCAGGTATCGTGGGCTTCATAGCACAGAGGGAGGTGTCCAGCTATCAGCTGCAGCTGGGGGCCTCCTATGCTTTTTTGATCCACACTAGAGCTGGGTGGGGCCCTCTTTGAAGCAGATGATATCCTATCATGGACCCCTGTCCCGGGTCCCTGGCATGGCTTTGGGAAAAACTGATCAAGTTAGAGGCCTGAGAGAAGCCACTTCATTTCTGATAAAATCAAGCTATTAGAAGTGAGAACCCAGCTTCCGTCTGAGGCATTAACTTCTCTGCTGGCCTGTCCTCGATCACTTTCTGTGACTGGAATTCACTACACTGTGCCTACCACCTGGTTTGACCTTAGATATAATGCCAGTTGCTTCCATTTCAAGCTCTGACTCTTCGCCACTGTTAGGCCTTGGGCACAGCACGTCGTTTCTCTGTACCTTTATTTTCTTCTCTGTAAAATGGACAGAATGGTTCTGATTATCTGTTGCTGCATCAAACTACCCCAAAACTTAGTGGCGTAAAACAACAGCACATTTATGATGTGGGCCAGCGCAGGGCACAGAGAAGGTGGCTTGTCTGAGCCCTGTGGCACCTGCTGGGTGGGCATGGACAAGGTGGCTCCTTCTGTCACTTGTCCGATGCCTGGGTTGGGAGGGTGGTTGGCATGCCTCCTCTCTGCGTGGCTAGGTTGGGGGTGCCTCATAGTATGGCGATCTGGCCCCCCAGAGCGAGCATTTCAACAGAAAGAAGCAGGCAATGCCAGTCTCTGGAGGCTTGCATATGGAAATGGACACAATGTCACTTCTGACATATTTTTTCCGGTCAAAGCCATCACTTAGCCGACCCTTATCCCAGGAGAAAGGACATAGACCCCGCCTCTTCATGGTAGGAGCATAAAGAACGTGTGCCCATCTTTAAGCCACTACCAATGGTATTGGTCGCCAAAGAGCTACCGTGGGGAATAGATGAGTCAGGAGTGTCGTTCAAAATGAAAAGAACGGACAATAGCAAGTGTGGACAAGGATGTGGAGCAACTGGACCTCTCATTCGTTTGCTGGTGGAAATGCAAAAAGGGACAGACACCTTGGAAAATAGTTTGGCGATCTCTTATAAAGTCAAACACATACTTACCTTAGATCCCACCAACCCTAATCCTAGATAGTTACTCAAGAGAAATGAAAACAAGTGCCCACAAAGACTCATATGCACATGTTCAGAGCAGCTTTGTTCTTTCCCAAACGGGAAAGAACCCCAAAAGCCCACCAGCAGTAGAAACAGGTGAACAAATTGTTTATTCATCATACACAGCCATGGAAAAGAATGAACTATGTGCACAACTACAAAATGATTTTACCAACATGATGGTTCGTGAAAGAAGCCAGACACAAGAATATATTCGACACGGCTCCCTCAATATGAAGTTCAAAAGTAGGCAGAACTAATCCAAGGTGATGGACGTCAAGAGAGAGGTTAGCTATGGGGGGGTGTTGTGCCTGGGAAGAGGCATGAGGGAGCTTATGGGGTGGTGGGGTGCTCTGTACATTGGTCTGGGTGGATGTAAACACATGTACAAATTCATCAAGCGGTCCACGTAAGGCCTGGCACTTTTCTATATGTCACTTACACTCACAAACAATTGCTTAGCACGGTGCCTGCTATGTACTGAGTGACCCATACAAGGTAGCTACTGACGTTATCTTCATCAGCGTCCAAGCAGCAGAGGGTGGTGCCACTGACGTGGCTATCCACAGAAGCTGGATTCGGAAGGCCTTCCCCTTCAGTGCCCTCTGGGGTTTGGGCAGCTTGTCCGGGCCCTCTGACACCCCGGTGGCCTCAGGCCCACCTTCTCGCAGGCAGCAGACTCTTACTTTGCTCACATAAGTGGAGAGAATTTCCTGTTGGCCTCAGCCCAGCAGTTGCATTTGGCATTGGTGTGAGTTCTTGGGTCAAGTGCATTTGGCTCTCCTTCCTGGGGGCCCTGAATCATCCTTGACAGCCATCTTTGCTCCGTGATAACCCCCACCCACATCCACGGCTCAGACTTCTGGGCTCCAGAGAACAGCTTGGGAAGGGCGGGGAGAACGGGCTGAGGAAGGGTCGGCCAGGGGCCCAGGCCAATAAACCTGGCTGGGCGTTTTGTCCTGGCAGGGGCTCAGAAAGCACGGATCCCTCCCTGATGTCTGTTTGCTCTTCTCAGTAACGTACAAAACGCGTGTTCTCAGATGCCTGTGACATGGTGGTGTGTAGTGGGTCAGGTGTGAGAAAAGAAATGTGTTGCTTTCCTTTGACTCCCTTATAGTAAGAAAAGTGCAGGGGGTGTCCACGGACGCCATGTTGGGGATACTCTAGGGAGTGGTGGGGACTGTGGTTAAACAAGGGGGGCCACTGTCACCCCAGTCTAGTTGATGGTTGCCACGTGGAACGTGGGCTCCATGTGACAAGGTGTCTGATTTTTCACAAGGAACCAGACATCTGGGTCTCTAGGGGGGATATCGTTAATTTTAGATCTTGGCACCTAACTTGGTTGTGCTTTTGTGTGTATGTTTTTTAGACATGATGCAGGCTGGCTCTGCATGGGCCCGATAGAACATGTCTGCAGACCTCTGGTGCTGAGGGGTGGCCTCAGACCAACCTGGATTGGAACCCACATGTCCCACTTGGTAGCTGTATGACCTTGGGCCAGCTCATGTAGTTTTTCTGAGTTTTTCTCAGTTTCATCACCCATAAAATAAGATTGAAGATAAAATACTTCCTCTTCACAGCATTGTCACGTGGTGACCACTCAGGGGGTGTTGGTGTCATGCCCGTATTGACTCAGCCTACATTAAATACCCTCATTTTCTCCTTATGGTTCCCATCCCATGGGAGGACCAAGGGAAAGGTTTGGGGGGTTTTTGGACCCCAAAGGTTACTGCCTACTCTCCCCCCCACGACCCCACATCTGTAGCCTGCCTTCTGGGCAGGAGTACCTAGTTCCCTACCACCTACGATTTCAGCTAGCAGAGAAGCCTCTTCAGAGAGGGCCTCCTCGCTCGGCCCACAGACCCTGTTTCTCTAGTCCCTTCAGATTTAGGTAGGGCGGGGCAGTGCCCATAAATCTCTCTACGGCGTCCCTGTGTCTCCTGTAGGTTGCTAAAACCAATCCCTCCCAATTTTCCCTCCTTGCCCCACCAATTTGTTTATTTAGAAATTAGCGGAAAGAAAAGATTGCATTTGATCCACTCTGTGTGGGCCTTGCCACGAGTTCTCTCCTTTTTTGCATCCTGGTGATTTCTGCTGAGTTTACCCTTGTTGAGACATGGGTTCTCACTAGCAGTGTGGCCTTGGGAAAACAAGGGGACATTGAGGACTTTTCCCCTGTCATGGTAGCAAATGCAGGTGCCTGCGGGAGTCAAGAAGATGAGGTGAGGTATTAGGGAGGGGTGGTGACTGTGGAAAACTAGCGTTCATGTCCCATCTGGAGGGGACAGCTGCTGCTCAGCCCAGCTTTGGGGCCTGGGGAGCCACAGGCCCAGTGCTGCCAAGGCTGCTGGCTTTTCAGAGAAGTTGTAAGTCCAGACTTAATCACTTTAATACTTTTAAGCCATATTTATGTGTTTTACTGTGGAATCATTTAGATTTACGAGAAAGCTGCAGAGGTAGCACCAAGACTTCCCATAGCGTTTCATCCAGTTTCCCCCTTGGTTACCTTCTTAGGTCACCACGTACCTTGGTCAAAGCTAAGAACCCAACACTGGTACGTTGCCGCCCACGAAACTCCACACTTGATGTTGGTTTCACCCGTTTCCCATTAATGTCCTCTTTCTGTCCCAGGACCCAATCTGAGGTACCACATTGCATTCAGGTGTCACGTCTCCTTAGTCTCCTGCAGCCTGTGACCGTTTCAGGCTTTTCCCGACTTTGGCTATTTGGAGGAATATTTGTCAGGTATTTTGTAGAAGGTTCCTCAGTTTAGGTTTGCCTGGTGGTTATTGTGTGTGTGGTTAGACGGGGCTTACGGGTTTCTGGAGAGAATGCCACAGAGGTGAGGTGCCTTCTCATCACATCATATCAGGTGACACGTGACACCCACGGCCGTCACTGGGATGCGGTTTTGGTCGTTTCTCCATGGTAACGTTACCACGGCCCCCACTCCATAGCCTGTTCAATCATTTGTTCCTAGGAGACTTGTGCGGTTTTATTTTATACTTTGGCTTATAATCCAGCATTACATTATTTATTTTGTTCAAATTGTTCCAGATTTGGCCATTGGCTCTTTCGGGTTAACTCCTGTGTTCCTTGGACATGCTCCCATCCTTTAGTTTTTTAAAGAACTTCCTTACTTTCTGGTATCACAGGATACTCCAGGCTCTTGCATTTTCCCTGCCCCAGCCCTAGAATCGGCCATTCCTCCTAGAAGCCCCATTTGAATTTTAAAGTTGGGAATTAAATCAAATTTAAAAACAAAACTACTTTGTGAGCCAAATCAAGTGTATCTGTAGGCCACATACGTAGATGATCTCGCTTAACCCCCAAAGCATTCTTTTGAGGGACGCACTAGTATAATCCCCATTTTACAGATGAGGAAACTGAGGTAGGGAGGTCAGGGCAGAGATTGAAGCCAGGCAGCCTGAGCCAGAAGCCGCCCTCTCAGGACTCTCTTCAACACCATGGGGTCAGGGCAGGGGAAAGGGGGGTACCTGAGGACAGAGGGCTTGGAGCCAGGGGTGCGGGGAGATGGCAGTGCTGTTACCAGAGATGGGGAGCGGGGGAGGAGTGTGGTTTTAGACATTCAGGGCTATGGGGTGGCTTCCAAGAAACCAAGAGCAAGGAGGGAGGTGGCACCCTGAAGGGCGGTGGGAGCATAACTCCAGGGGAACCCCAAGAAGTCTCACATACTTAGCCAGAAAGAGGAGGAAACACAGGTAGTTTTCAAAAACACTTTTAAAATTAAAAATTCATGCTGAGTTGTCACCTGCGTTAGTTATCTAGTGCTGCATAACCGATTACCCCAAACGTAGTGACTTCAGCAGTTACCTTTATTGGGCCAGCCGAGTGGTGCGTTGGTTAAGAGCTGGCTTAGGACGCCAGCTCTGAGCAGCAGGGCCCTGGTTTGGATCCCACGTGGGGGCCAGTGACGCTGCGCCCTCTACAGCTAAGATGGTGAACAACAGTTTGACCTGGAGCTTGGCTGCCGTGAGTTTCCAGCAACTGTGTAGGCTACAGTGGGGCTGGCCGGCAGCGGGCATGAGCTTTCGTGAGCTGCCGTGAGCTGTTGTGAGTGGCCGTCCAATGGCCGGCGAGCGACTGCCTCACCCGGGAAGAGCGCAATGATAATACCAACATGGGCCAGTGAAGTGACGTCCTCCACAACTAGACTGAAGAACAAAAGGACAGCAACTTGTCTGTTCCCCTTTCCCGATTCCCGAGCGCTGTTCTCCTCCCCCAATTCCCCAATAAAATCTTTAAAATAAAAACAAAAAAAACCCAGTTATCTTTATTATTTGATTGTGTCTGTGGGTCAGGAGTCTGGGGGCAGCCTAGCTGGGCCCTGTGGCCCAGGGCCTCTCTCAGGCTGCAGTCAAGACATTGGCCAGGGCCATGGTCATCTCAGGGCTCAGGTGGGGTGGTAGCACAACCAGGCAGAGTCAGTGGTTCTGGGCAGGACTCCGTTTCTTGTGGGTCATTGAAATGAGGGTCTCAGCTCCCCACGGGCTGTTGGCTGGGAGTCGCCCTCAGTTCCAAGCCACATGGCCACTTGTTGCATCAAAACCGGTGACCAGGAGAGAGGGCAAGTGAGAGAGGGAGCAAGCCAGCAAGAGGGAGAGACCGCCAGCAAGACACAGGGACGGTCTTCTATAACCCCGTCTCAAGAGTGGCATCTCTCATTTTGGCTGACTCCTTTTCATTAGAAGCAAGTCTCTAGGTCCAGCCCACCATCTAGGGGAGGGGATCACACAAGGGGCATGGGTACCAGGAGGCAGGGATTGTTGAGGAACATGCCAGCAGCTGCCTGCACACACCATGCCAGACACTCTGCTAAACGTCCTATCCTCACAGCATTGCACGGAAGCAAGGGCCACCGTAATTGCTTTCCTGTCCAGGTAAGCAAAAGAGGGCTCAGAGAGGTGCGGCGACTTGCCCAAGGTCACACAGCTTCTGGCGAGTACAGCTAAATTCAAACTCCAGTCTGGGCCCCAAGTCCAGCTCCTAGTGTGCCCACTGGTGTTTCTCTGACTATTCCCAGATTCCCACTGCAGCATAGCCTTGGAACTTGGCTGAAAACGCAGATTGCCAGCTAACCCCAGACAAACTAGCCCAGGCTTGGAGGGGCCTGGGTATCAGCATTTGACAAGCTTCCCCCAGGGGATTTGGAGGCTCCTAGAACCTGAGCGGTGTGTATACTGCCTCTCTGCAAGGTGAGGACATGATAACTTGGAAATGGAATCTCTCACACTGAAGGGTCAGGCGTGGTCCTTTCAGCTCTAAAAGAAAACGGAAGCTTATATGTCCGGTTTCAGTGATCAAGGGAAAGTTGTAGCTTCATAACATTCCTAGTCGCTTTTTGGGGTCCTTCCAAGCAGAAGAAATTGAACATTAGATGAGATGCTTGGTGCCTGGGACGGCCTCGGCACAGTGTCTACACGGAGGAAGCACCCTGCTGTACTGTTTTCGATAACGTTGTGAATGTTCATGATTGTTATTAACTCATTCGTATTTTTAATTCCAGCGAGATGCAAACTCCACTCACCTTGACTTTGGTTTAGAGATTTTGATTCTTTGCATTTGATCCAGTTCAGTGGTTTAGAAAATGAAGATATTTTGTTTGGGACTGATGGTGTTAGGTGTTCGGAGGGGAAACAATTTGGGGTTCAGTAAATAATACCTGGGTGGGTCTGGGTCCCGAGAGGTAGTGGGGTTGGTCCCCACTTGGGACCCTGGATTGCTGGATTGCACCTGGGCCTGTCCCTGGGCAGAATGCCCCTCAGTGTCTCGGTCATCAACGAGGTCTCTGCAGACACTGGCTGACCCCAGAGCCAGGCGGGAGGTTCCGGTGATGGTAACGTGATGGTGACAGGGCCTAGGGCCTGATGGGTTGTTTTGTTCTTTGCAGATCAGGAGTGACACCTCACAGATCTTGGAGGAAAACATCCCGCTCCTTAAGGCCAAGGTGACAGAAATGCGTGGCATCTACGCCAAAGTGGACCAGCTGGAGGTGCGTCCAGGTTAACGAGCTTTCTTTGTGAGACCCTGTGGGCTTGTTCTGGCTCTTTCGTCCTCTCTGCCAAGTTGCTAACCTGGCCTGAGAGTGTCAGGCATTGGACTCAGTGGAAGGGGTCGGTGGCAAAAGGGGGGCCTACACTCACAAGGCATTTAAAAAGTGGGACATGTGTGAATTTATGTAAAGTATCCCTTTAAAAATGTGGGTGCTTTCTATTAAAAAATCTGAAGGTTAAGCTGCTTTTGGAAATTCAGAAGCTTTGATAATCCTGAGCCCACATTTCTTTAAATACTTTCATTTGTTTATTACTCCAGGTATAAATATACATAAGGCACACACATCTAAGTGTGCAGCTCAGTGCATTTTTACATATATAACCCCCCACGTGAAGATGACCCACATTAAGAAACAGAACATTTCCAGCCCCTGGGCTGCATTCTTGTCCTCACAGGACGCGTGCTCACAAGTTCCCCACAATCCCCGCCGTGCCCTATTGCCTCACTGCTGACTTATCTCCGCCACCTGTCATTTGTGTGGGTACTGGGATAAGCTGCGAGGTCTCTCATTCTTCTCTTTGCTGCCTTGCAAAGTTGGTACCCTCACTGTCCCATCTCCCAGAGGAGGAGCATAAGCTTGGAGAGGTAAGCCACTTACCCAGGGTCACGTGGCTAATGCCATGAAGCTAGGATTTCAGCTCCCATCCACTGGAACCTAAGCTCTTCAACGAACTGGGGCCCTCAGCTTGGGATCTTGCACAGAGAAGGACTCAGAGGCTGGGAGGAGCTTGCAATTTAATTAATGGTAGTCGCCTGGGCAGAGGGGACGTGGGCCCCTCTGAGATACAGAGGAAGGGACCATGGCAGTTGGCACTGGAGTTAGCAAGGAATTAGCATTCTTGTCAGCAGAGAATGAGGCAGGAGTATAATTAAAACTTTGCCCTTGGAATAGCTGATTCATTTGAATTTTATTCCACACGTTTGAAAGCGGGGCGGTGGGTAGCGGGGGAAAGCGAGGATTTGCAGTCCTGGTTCTTGCCTTGCTTGGGTCAGCCCAGCTCTCAAGCCCAATTCTTTCCTCGGCATTCAGTCCACTAACGTTTATTGAGTGAACTGTGTGCCACTGTGGAGCCCTCACAATGCGAAGACAGATACAGCCTGTGGCCACATTCCAGCAGGAGAGACCCGACTACAAAGCATTGCCACAGTAGTTTTCTGTTGCCACCATAACAAATTACCAGATTGGTGGCTTAAACCCTGAATTTATTATCTGACAGCTCCTGAGGTCAGAAGTCCAAAATGTGTCTCACAGACTGAAATGGAGGTGTCAGCAGGGTTCCTACTGGAGGCTCTGGCCTTTTCCAGCTCCCAAGGCTGCCTGCATTTCTCAGCTCGTGGCCCCTTCCTCCATCGTCAAAGCCTACACGCAGCATCTTCCAGCCTCTTTCCTACCCTGATGCCCCCAACCCCCCACTTCCCTCTTATAAGGACCCTGTGATGACATTGGGCCCACCTGGATGAGCCAGGATTCTCTCCCCATTTCAAGATCCTTAATCACACCTGCAAAGTCCCTGTTGCCTTGTAAGGTAATACATTTACAGGTTCTAGAAATGAGGATATGGACATCTTTGGAGGAGCGGGGGCGTGATTGTCGCCACAGTTACTAAGGGTGATTTAGAGTGAGGCGTGTGCTCTGGAGGGAAGTAACGACGCAGGAGTGGAGTCCACAGGCCCTGGAGGAGGAGTGGGAGGAGCCTTGGTGGGTGGGAGGTGTGGGCGGGGCCTCGGAGCAAGGCAGAATCTTGGCTCTGGGGCAGGAAGGAGATGGGGACACCAGAGGGATCCTGTGGGGGCCAGATTACAGGGCCATGACCAGGGTTGAGCTGGGGAAATTGGACAGCAAGATCCCTGTGGTCTGGGCCCTGCAGTCCAAGGTCAGGATTTTGGCCTTTGTCCTGAGGAACAGGAAGCCATTGAAGAGACAGGAGAGCCTCATGGTGAGGAATGCACGCTCCAGTACAGGGCGTTCCAGCCTCAGTGCTGTGCACACTTTAGGCCTGATTCTCTGCGGTGGCGGCCGTCCTGTGTGTCGTAGGATGTTTAGCAGCGTCCCCGGCCTCCACCCGCGAGATGCCAGTAGCACCCCCCTACCCCAACCCCACTGCGACAACTAAAATGTCTCTAGATGTTGCCAGCTCGCCTCTGGTTGGGAACCTCTGCGCTAGAGCCCTACTGCCTGGGTTCAGATAGTGACGCTGCCTCTTCTTAGTGTGGCCTCCCAGCCGATCCTGAGCCTCTATTTCCCTATAAAATGGGGTAACAGCAGTGAGGCTCTTGAACCCAAATCATATCAATATTTACTTGACAAACATCGTTGAACACTCACTCTGGGCTGCCCTGAGGTGGGCGCTGGGAACACAGCTGAGGTGAGGTTCCTGGTCCCCTGCTTATGGCATGTGGGGGGTGCTGGGTGAGACAGGCCAGCTGTGTGAGCACCTGCAGAGGGGGTGCCTGTCGAGACCTGGGACAGAGACAGCTTCCAGGGGGTATAACCGCTATGCTAAGGTCTGAAAGATGGAGGAGTCAGCCTGGGGAGGGAACAGCTGATGCAAAGGCCCAGAGGCTGGAAAGAGCAAGACCCCTTAAGCCGTTGTGGATGGGTGCAGAGCTCCAGATCAGGGGCGAGGCTGGAGCGATGGGCAACGGGCTGATCATGGACGTACAGGTTGTGGCACCTGGACCCTGTGTTGAGAATAACAGGACCCATCAAAGGAACAGATGGATTCCACAGCCAGACCCCCTGGGCCCCAGATCTGCCCCTTGGGTCTCTCTCTCATCCTCTTAGAGTCAGTTTCCTCCTCTGTAAATTGGGACTGTGCCGTCCATTGCTAGGCCAGCACCTGCACATTTAGGTGCTTAGTGAGGACAAGCTGTTTTGGTGGCTGTTGCCCACAGGCTACGAGAGGCAGAATCTCTGTGGGGCGGATGCTCACCCTTCTGTCCAGCTGCCCCCGGGGCCCCAGGGGCTTCCAGGAAGCTCAAGATCACCCTTCTTTCAGATCCGCGTGACCCGCCGGGGTGGGGGTGGGGGAGCTTGGGAACCACAAGGTGACCTCTCAGGCCAGAAGTTGGCCATTTATCAGTTTTAATAATAAAAAACGAACATTTCTAGAGCACCTGCTATGAGCCAGGAACTCTAAGTGCTTTATACGTAAGACCTCACTTCATCCTCACAGCAGCCTCAGGAGGAAGGTCCTGTTATCAGTCCCATTTTATAGAGAAAGCAGCTGAGGCACAGAGAGGTGCAGTGATTTGACCAAGGTCACACAGCTAGGAAGTGGTAGAGCTGGCATTACAAAGGGGTGTGCTCCTGGCTGCGCTCAGTGCCGAATGTGCCACTCTTTCCAGACAGGGCTCTGCTCTGAAGCTGGGACCTTTGCCAGAGCTGTTCAAATGCATCAGAACTCACAAATGTATTTTAAAACAGTGGGGCTTCCTTCCCGCCCTTCCTCTCTTCCCCTTTCCTTCCTTCTTTCCCTCCTTCCCTCTTTCCCTCCTGATAATAAAAGTAATACATTTTCATTGTAGAGATAAATATACAGAAGTCACCCATATGCCCAACACCTGTCCCCCAGGGTGGCTACGCTTAGCCGTCACCCTCTTTCTGTCCCCGAGTCCCCATCTGTGTGGATGCACGTGTGTGTCTCTCCATCTCTTATCTCTTCCAGTTGGTTGCAAGCTGGGGCAGCCCAGGTTTGGCCTCTCCTGGCCTGGCTGGGCCGCTGGCAGGCATCTTGGAAGCTGGTCAGACCTCGTGAGTGCACATTCCTCAGCGGCCCCACTCCCCACCAGACTGGTAGTAGCGCAGGGAGCGTAAAATTAGAGTCGGCTGGAGGAAGGGGACCGCAGGACTTTCTTCTGTGTTTTACAACCAGATGTGCTGCCCGAGCGAGGCCTCCGAGCTCCAGGGCCGGAGCCCTGGTCACGGGGAAGCTTCCAGCCCATGGCCCCTTGTCCCCCCCGCTACACACACACACACACACCTCATGTGGCTTATTCAGGCTTTCACCTCTGCCCCTGCCAGAACCCTAGGGCGGCAACAGCACAACAATGCTGCCATCTTGGGTTCATCCAGTGTCTCTTTGCCAAGGATGCATTGATTCACTCATGCATGCATGCATGCGTTCATTCACATGTGCCTACATTCACGCATTCACCATCCAGTGGAGCCCCTTCCAGCTGACCAGGCTCTGGTCTTGGCCTGTGAACAACACTGACTCAGCACCTTCTCTTCTGGAACTCACATGCTAGAGGGAGGTCGACTGTGAATAAATACACAAGAAAGAAGTTCAGAGGGTGAGGAAGGCTCAGAAGACAGGAAACGGGGTGCTCCACAGTGACTTGGGCTGTAGTCAATCAGGTGGTCTGGGAAGGCTTCTCTGTGAAGGGGACCATCCATCCAGGGCCTGAAAGATGAGCAGCATTCATGCCATCAAGGACAGAGAGAAGGGCGCTGCCAGCATGGAGAGAGCTGGTGCAAGGGCCTTGTGGAGAGAGAGAGCTGTGTGACTTTGGGCAGGTGACTCAACCTCTCTGAGCCTAGGTTTCCCTCTGTAAACCAGAGACTAAGGACTCTAGTCCCTATGGGGAGAGTATGGGAGGACACACGTGGAGGCTTGGTCAGGTCTGGCTACCAGTGGGAGCTGTTACTGTTATTGTCAGGGTTCCTGAAGGTGACCTCCCAGCTAAGGAGGCCTGACCTATCCAGGAGCCCCCTGGTAGCAGCGATTGTGATTCAGGGCCTGGTGTCTCCATGGGCCGAGGGAGCCAGGAATGTGCTCCAGTGGTGGCAGATGTGGCACCCCCACTGTGTCCCCTCTCTCCACCAGGCCTTCGTCAAGATGGTGGGGCATCACGTCTCCTTCCTGGAAGACCACGTGCTTCAGGCTGAGAGGGACCACGGGGCCTTCTCACAGGCCCTGTGGAGGTGGCTGGGATCCGCCAGGCTCCCCTCCTTCAGGAACGTGAGTATCTCCCCCCTCCCACCTCCTCCCAGACCCTGGAGTGGGGAGAGGGGCTCAGGAAATGGGAGTTCAGAGGGCATGTCTCGTTTCTGCAGACAGGAAGTGGTGTCTGGCTGGCCAGGAAAGGGCGGGCCCAGGTGGCAGGGCGTCTAGGTCCTTCCCTCCGGCACATCTTCTTGTCCTGAGCTTTAAGTTTCAGTGTTGTGACTGCTCGATTCTTCATCCACCATTTATTGAGCACCTGCTGTTTGCCAAGTATTGTGGTCCACCTGAGCAGAAACAGACCCTGTCCTCCTGTCCTGTCCTTACGAACCTACAGACATGCTCAGAGCAACATCCAGAATTCGGGCCAGGTCCTTCTTCCCAAGGCACGAGCCACCCTCCAGCAGACCAGCGGGGCCGGGACGGTGATGGGGTGTCCAGCCTGTGTGTGGCTCTTTGTGACTTGCAAAGGCCTCTCCTACCTCCGTCTCTGCTCCCTAGACCCTCCCAACGACCTCGTAAGAAAGGAAGGATCATTGTTTCTTGTTTACTGATGGAAAAACTGAGGCCAGACTCATCCAGCAATTAGGACTTTCAGTGTTTAAGACGTGTCTGTCGTTCCCACTTATCACGTGCTGATCCCCTAGTCCAGGGAACACTGGGCAATGTCTGAGACATTCTGGTTGTCAACTGGCTGTGAGGGGTGCTACTGGCATCTAGTGGGTAGAAACCAGGGAGGCTATTAAACACCCGACAGTGTGCAGGGCAGCTCCCCACAACAGAGAATTATCTAGCTCTAAATGTCAGTCGTGGCAAATATGAGAAGAAACCCTGCCCTCTGCTATATTTGATCGTTCTAATGATGGTTTATGTTAGGTCTGTTCTAAGTGCTCTGTGTGCTGTTTTATATGGCAGCTAATTCCAACACCAGTCTTTGGAAGAAGGTACTTTTACCATCACCCCCATTTTATAGACGAGGAGACTGAGGCTCAGGGAGGTGAAGGGACTTGCCCGAGAACCACACAGCCTGGTGTGACAAGGCTGGATTGTAGCCCTGGCTGACCTGTCTCTGGCGCCTTGCCCTTCACAGGGAAGTTGTCTGCCCAGCCGACCACCCTGTTCTGCCCCCACTGCGGTCTGTCACGGTTCCTAGGGCCCTGCCTCTCTGTTGCCCCTGTTCCTCCTGTCTGCCCCCACACCTCTACTTTGTGTTACCACAGATGCTCATTGATTGAGTGTTTACAGTGTTCCAGGCCCTGCATTAGGCATTTCATGTGTGTTGACTTATTGACTTTCCCAGCCATCGTATGCGTGGGGTATTAACGTTCTTCTCATTTGACAGATGAGGAAATGGAAGTTTGGAAAGTTTCAGGGGTTACCACTCATGCAGCCCATGGCTGAATTTGGCATGTGTGAACTCATTCTATCTGGCCGGGCAATGTTAGTTAAACAGCGTGACTTGTGATACCTAACTGGACATTCACTGTCTAGTCGCTGCTCCATCTTGTCTCATACCTGCCTGAGGCATATGCTGCTCACCTGCCTCCATCCCGGTGAGTGACTTGCCCAAGGCCAGTAGCAGACAGACAGTGGACTCATAGATCTCATGGTCTAGAAACTCCTAGGGACCCTTCAGAGGCCAAGTTAATACCACGTCCTCTGGGAAGCCCTCTGGCATTACCTCCTCTCTAGATAAATGCTATCTTTCTGCTTTCTGGTGACAGTGAACTCATGAGCTGCCTTTGTTCTCCTCTCCCTGGAGTCACAGTCAACGTTTCCTGGGTGTCTGGGAGTGCCCCAGTCACACAGCGCTCTGCCCTCTGATGGCTTTAGAAGCGCATTTGGGGAGGAAGATCCGAGGACTTTGGCTACCTATACGGCCTGCTGGATGGTCTGCACAGTTGTCCCCAGGTTGTTGGCACTAGTGTCCCCATTGAGAGGCAGAGACCAAGGCCTGGACAGGGAGAGTCACGTATCTGCGATCACTGCTGGGGTTGGAACTCAGGCCCATGGGGCTCCGGATCTGGGGATCCCCGCCCACTCCTGCAGCAGGATCCCACCGGGTATGGCTGGGCATGCCAGGACCTGCCCCTTCTCATCTCTGCCAGACGCAGGGCCCCCAGGCCTACCTGTGGTGACTTGTTCCCGGAAACACACTGCATCCAGAGGTGGTGAGTCATTCTGTACCACCGGCATGTTGATCTTAGCCCCAGGAGGGCTTTGTCTGGGGCAGAGGGTGCAGGTGAGCATGTAACACGTGCGCGCGCACACACACACACACACACACACACACACACACACACACACACACTCAGGCCTGGGGGTTTCCAGGGCTGCACCTGCCCCTAGGTGCAAGCCAAGGTTACCTTCTAGATTCCCAGTCCTCACGGCTTGTGTTGCGGCCCTGACTCTGCAGGCACCTCACATCCCACCCTGAGAGGTAGGCCTGGTCATCATCCCTATTTTACAGTTGGGTAAACTGAGTTGCCGAGGGTTGAATTGCCCACCTAGAAGTGGTGGAGCTGGGATTCGAACCTGTGAGGCCTGGACCCGAGCCAGTGCTCTGCACCGCTTGGCTCTGCTGGGTCTTTCTGTGTCTGGTTCCAACCACTGGAACCGCTGTGTGGGGGATGGGGTCCTCAAAGAATGCCCAGATGGTTCTCTGTTTCTTCCAGCTGGACTTCCCCCAAGCCAGGATTTCACACGGTCTCAAGTCAGGTCCCCTCAGTGCCTGCCTGAGGTGGACACTGCCCTTCGCTGGCCACGGCCATCGCCCTCAGAGAGTCTACACCAGCCCTTCTGCCCCTGCAGTCGTGAGAAGCTGCTCCTCACAGCCAGATTCCATTTCCAGCCCTCCTACAGCCCCCTGCCCTCCAAGGGTCCTGTGGAGTGGAGACTGGGGTGGGACAGGGACTCTTGGGCCTCGCCTGGCACCATGGGGATGCTAGCAATGGGCCCTGTCCCTGTGGGGTAAGCCACACCACCCCCCTGGATGCCATCCCCTAAGGGAAATAGGCCAGCCATCGCTGCCTCCCACCACAGTCTTCCCAGAATCAGGAATGGGCGGGGCCCCCCTCATGGGGTCCAGGAGGGACAGCCCTCAGCCTCCACCCTGGAGCTGGGCAGGGGTCTTTTGGGGGGAATGGGGGAAAATTGGTCCTTGCGTTTTCTACCTTGCCAGAGAGACCCGCCTTCCCCCCTTGCTTCCATCCTTTCTGTTCTTCCTCACTCTGCAGATGTAGTGGGGGGCAGCTGGGTGTGGCAGAGTCCCCCGCACCCCTCTGCCCCAGCACAAGGACCCAGACGCACCCCTGTCCCTGTGACTGGGCGCTGGCTGTGGCCTGGGCTGGCCCCAGGAGGCCGTGGAGGGGAGGTCTGGGGGTGCCCGTTTGCCACCTGCTGATGAGCTCTCCTGATGCCCAGCCCAAGCCCAGCTGAGCTGCCTGAGAGGCCTGTAGTCAGTCCACAGAGTAAGGGCCAGCCTGGCGCCCTGGACCTCCAGCGCCCAGATACCAAAACGTGCATGTTTTTGTGCTATGATGTATGTGTTTGCATAGTACAAAGGTCCATATTTTCATGCTGCAGTACCTACAAGCAAAGCTTTCGGTTATACTTTCCCAGTGATCCTTATGACGTTCCAAGATGTTAACTAGGAATTGTGCCTCTCTTTCACTGCGGTATTTTTTAGCTGTGTGACTGTGGGCAGGTCGCGGAGCTGCTGTAAGCCTCAGAGAGCTTCCCTGTCCGCTGATGTGGGCACGGTGATATGCTTGCTTGAAAACTGGCCTGGATTTGAAGCCAAGTTGATGAGGGGCCTCCACTAATGCAGTGGGAATAAAAAGGATGAGAAAGGGTCCAGAAACCTCCATAGGAGGGTTCTGAACATTGGTGGGCCTGAAAAGCCAGCTCTGCTTGAAAATAATGTCCTGCTATAGGACAGAAAGCCTCATTGCTCAGTGGTGAGCAAGTGTCGTGGTGGTGGTGGTGGTGGTGGTGGTGACACAGAGGCAGCCCTGCAGGGCCAGGCACTGCTATCGACTCAACACCCTGTGGGGGAGGGGCTATTTTTATCCCCATTTTATAAGTGAGCAAACTGAGGCACAGAAAGGTGACCCAAGGTCACACAGCTGGGCATGAAGATATGAACCCACATTCTAGACTGTATCCCGTCCTGCCTGGGGGGAGAGCCGCCACCTCTTCCCTCGGGAAGCTCATGTCTAGTGGGGGAATACAGACGACCGCCAAATCCTACGAAAATTCAGTAGGCAGTCGTTTCTAAAGGGGGCCCTGGCTTGTTGTGAGGGGGTCAGGGATGGCCTCTTAGGCAGGGCCCTGGGAACTGAGACCTGGGTTACGAGTAAGAGTCAGTCTGAATTCAGAAGAACAGGTGCTCCCAGCAGAGGGGACGGCAAGGGCAGGGGCTCGGAGGTGGGGCCCAGCGAGCTGCTTGAGGAGTGGTGGGAAGCCCAGAGTGGGTCGGCGGCGGAGGGACGGGGGAAGGAGGAGCCACATGAGGCCAGGGCCAGCCTGGGCAGGGCCTCGGGCCACACAGATGATGTAAAGACAGTTCTAAGGACAGCGGGAGCCATGGCAGGCTTCATAGGAGGGGCATGACCTGGTCAAATTTGCTTCTCCTGGAGCATTGCCAGGGCTGGTGCTCTGCCCACAGCCAAGGCTGGCACTCAGGGTCTGCGTCTTGTTGAGACTTGAACACGAGAGCTGAGCAGGGTGCGTGGGTGCCCCCCGGGCTTAAGAGTTCAGTCGTTGGGGGTGTATTTCCTCAGCCTGGAAACATCTCATTCTGTGCCCTGAGCTCACTGCTATCCTTGCCTTTCAGGGTCTCAGGGCCCTTGTCCAACTGGAAGAAACAAAAGAGGCTCCAGAGGGGGGTGTGTGCAGGTCTCCTGGACAAGGGTCTGGGTCCCAGAGACCCTGCCTGGGGAGGCACTGTCAGCCCAGCACCTGTACACAGAGGCCTGTTGCATCTGGAGATAATCTCAGCCGCGTGCAGAAGTGAA